CAGTTCTGACTGACACAAAAGATTCAGATACTCACTTTGACATATCAACAGCCAGATCTAAATATATCTGTTTTGAAAGGATTGAAAATGAAAGCAGACATTTTGTAAAACCTGATGTGACTTCTAAGATAAAACTGTAAAAACAAAAAGTAAAGGAAAAACAAAGTTATCTACTTTAGGCCACTCAAATATTTTCTGGTTGATTTGTTTTCAGACATTTGTGAATCAAGGCACAGGTCAACAAACCTGTGGTTATCCTGCTGGTTAAGTTAACAAGAAACAATAGATCATCACACACAAACGGAAAGGGGTTTGGAAATTGGCCATAGCACTATTATAAAGCCATAATTTTTTTTTCTGTGGTTTATGTATATCATATGTCACAAAAATAAATAAATAAATATCTAAATAAAACACAGAAATCATTTTGAGCCGTTTTATGCATATAGTTAGCTTGGTTTCCTTCCCCATTGTCTTTGCTGATTCGGTTGTGCTATGATTTTTTTAATATTTATGTTTTCCTAATGGTATCTCACAAAATAATTTTTCTGTATTTTTAAAATGTCTCATTAGAATTCTATGTGTAAGGCCGTCACTAAATAGCGTTTGAATATACATTAGATAAGAAATTGTACATAGTTTTCAAGTTTATTACAATTAGAAACAGGAAAAATGTGGCAAAAAATGTATTTAAACTCTTGGTGACATTTTATAAGCTATAATAATATCTTAAACTTAATATTTATCACAGCTCTGTTGAAACAATCATATTAAAATGGTGCAGCGACGAAGAAAGTTACTGTTAGAATTTATAAGAAATTCTAGAAAGCAGCGTTGAGTTTTCCACAAGCCCTGTAAGAGACATAAAGTGAATAAAGATATTTTGATCGCATGAAAACTAACTAATTTCCAGTCTCAAAGCGTTTTTTTTAGCTAAGCCTGAAGGTTGAAGATTACAGGCTGCAGCCATTTTCAGCTTGGAACATGTCTCATAGCAGAAGGCGAATTTTCAATGGTGGATGGAGTGTTGAATAGGGAATTGAGTTAAGAGGGTCTAGCTGGATTGCCTCACCAGATTTAACGGTGAGTCATAATATTAAATGACAACAGTCGTGAGTTTCACTGTTGACGAAAAATACCAGATTAAGCGGAAAGGGAGAACAGAATATAAATTGGCTGCTTGGGAAAATAGACAAGTACTTTTTGGCCTAGCCCTTCTGAACTTAAGTAAACATATTAACTTCATTTTGTGTGACTCTACATGCTCCCTTTTGCCCTTGTCAAGTGAAAGAAATAAACGAGATCGATTGATTTCACTCAGTCGGTACTTTATTTCTTTACACAGAAAGAGAACAAGATGGCATAATGTCCAGCCCTGTTCTGACTGGAAAAAATTGTCACTCACAACTTAAAATCTGAGAAAATCTGGGAAAGTTGTCAGAGTGCAGTTAATCAAAACAAATTACAGACACTCTGGAAAAACAGTCAAATGTTATGAATAAACATTGAGAAAGAACCTTACTTGTTATTGGAATAAGCTCACTCAGACACCCTTCACAGCTTGAGCTGCCTCATTATGGGACAGTATAAACTAATTCTCCTTTTTTTCTGTTGTACTGAGTTGATAGCAGTGGAGTGCTTGAGATGATACACTATATTGCCAAAAGTATTTGCTCACCCATCCAAATTATTGGAATCAGGTGTTCCAATCACTTCCATGGCCACAGGTGTATAAATTCAAGCACCTAGGCATGCAGACTGTTTTTACAAACATTTGTGAAAGAATGGGTCGCTCTCAGGAGCTCAGTGAATTCCAGCGTGGAACTGTGATAGGATGCCACCTGTGCAACAAATCCAGTCGTGAAATTTCCTCGCTCCTAAATATTCCACAGTCAACTGTCAGCTGTATTATAAGAAAATGGAAGTGTTTGGGAACGACAGCAACTCAGCCACGAAGAGGTAGGCCACGTAAACTGACGGAGCGGGGTCAGCGGATGCTGACGCGCATAGTGCGAAGAGGTCGCCAACTTTCTGCAGAGTCAATCACTACAGACCTCCAAACTTCATGTGGCCTTCAGATTAGCTCAAGAACAGTGCGCAGAGAGCTTCATGGAATGGGTTTCCATGGTCGAGCAGCTGCATCCAAGCCATACATCACCAAGTGCAATGCAAAGCGTCGGATGCGGTGGTGTAAAGCACGCCGCCACTGGACTCTAGAGCAGTGGAGACGCGTTCTCTGGAGTGACGAATCGCGCTTCTCCATCTGGCAATCTGATGGACGGGTCTGGGTTTGGCGGTTGCCAGGAGAACGGTACTTGTCTGACTGCATTGTGCCAAGTGTAAAGTTTGGTGGAGGGGGGATTATGGTGTGAGGTTGTTTTTCAGGAGCTGGGCTTGGCCCCTTAGTTCCAGTGAAAGGAACTCTGAATGCTTCAGCATACCAAGACATTTTGGACAATTCCATGCTCCCAACTTTGTGGGAACAGTTTGGAGCTGGCCCCTTCCTCTTCCAACATGACTGTGCACCAGTGCACAAAGCAAGGTCCATAAAGACATGGATGACAGAGTCTGGTGTGGATGAACTTGACTGGCCTGCACAGAGTCCTGACCTCAACCCGATAGAACACCTTTGGGATGAATTAGAGCGGAGACTGAGAGCCAGGCCTTCTCGTCCAACATCAGTGTGCGACCTCACAAATGCGCTTCTGGAAGAATGGTCAAAAATTCCCATAAACACACTCCTAAACCTTGTGGACAGCCTTCCCAGAAGAGTTGAAGCTGTTCTAGCTGCAAAGGGTGGACCGACGTCATATTGAACCCTATGGATTAGGAACGGGATGTCACTTAAGCTCATATGTGAGTCAAGGCAGGTGAGCAAATACTTTTGGCAATATAGTGTATATGTGAATTGTTCAACATGACCATATCAATTAAATGGATTGGACTGAACTATTGTATAGGAAAATGCTTTTCCATGTTCAGCTAAATAATAACAATGGAGAGCTTTTATTTTGTCACATTTAGTTATTTCATGTTGGGTTCATCTTTGTTTAATTGACAAGTTATTATGGAACCGGTTCTGTATAATTGATACTTGAGATAAGACCTAGATTTATTTTTTTACTTTGAAAAGGTTAACAATGACCTTACGCATAAATATGTAAAGAAAAAAAAAGGAATTTGAATGAAAAGAGAACCTTCTTTCCTTTTAGTGAATGCTTGTACATAAAATATCCCAGACCAACCTGAAAAAAGATTTATTGTATCCTGGTGAACAACAAAAAAAAATCTATATTCTTTATACCAATAAAATATGAGACTGATAGCAGCAACTTAGTACTATACTTTTATAATGATTGATAATAATATAATATATAATGATTGATAATAATAGATTATGTAATACCCACTTTTTAATTTGTTGATAAAATATAAAATCAATGCAAATTATGTTACATGTTAATTTTAAGAATAATGTAGTCATAGCTTGAGCAAAAAACCCTGGAAAACAGTTTGTGATTGTATTACTGAATTTTTTCTACAGGGCATCAGAAGGTCTGATGTCTCGTGGGAAAATGTCCCAAGGATCCATGGAAGGAACGTGGTTCTTCCAGTCAGGCTGAAGAGGAGGATTATTCAAAGCCATCAAACATCCCAACCAGAAGCACTCAGAGGTCAGAGATCTCAAATCGGTCCTTGATCCCTCTGAGTTTGGACCTCCATGTTCAGGGAAACCAATCTGTGTTGGAAATGTTAAAAAAAAAAATATTACTCTTCTCCTTTATTTGAATATCCACAATTGTCACCTTTTCAATGATGGAATAATTTATCCCACAGACCTTCAGAATATCTTCTTTGCTGCCGTTGAACAGAACAATCTGCAGGTTCTGAACAGTAAGCTGTCTGAACTCTTTAACCTGAAACACAGGAACCATGAAGCATAGATTATTTTTCATCCAAAAAACAAATTTACCAATCAGTAAAGAAATCAGATCTGCGGTCCAGTACCTTCTGTGGAGTCATTCCTGTGATGGACTCTGCCAGTCCAAACACCTCTTCTATCTGGTGCCTCTTTCTCCTCATTTGTTCTAATGCAACTCGAAAGGATTTCTAGAATCATCAGTTAAACGTTAAGACCAAACAACCTGCAGCAGCTAAATAAACTACAGAGTCATGTCTTTCTGAGAATCTATTGCACCTGAATCAGATCCTTGGCCTCCTTTGGGCCGACGTTCCTGGACTTCAGCTGATCTTTGGTTTTAGGCCACTGCAGCAGTTTCAGGTTGTCGTACATCTCAGTCAGTCTGGTTTTACTGACCGGGTCGTTCATGCTCTCAGTGTTTGATGTCTTTAATGACACAGCCACATTTGCAGCCACTCTGTTCACACAGAGACAACAGAGATGAAGACTTTTGTGTAGTTTAAATCCAATGTAATAGTTTTACTAGTATGTACTGCACCTCTGTTTGAGTGATAGAACTTCTTGTTCTTTTTGTTTCAATGCAGACCTGTGGAGATATATACCATAATATCAACTGCTTTTTGCTATTAATCATGTTTTTGTTGTTCTTTAATTTATTTTAGCAAACGAACAACTCTGCATTAAATATTAATTTCAACACAAATATGAAGAAAGCTGATTTGAAATTTTTGTTGAGTGAATAACCTAAAGTCGATCAACTAAAAAAGGAGATTTAATGTGTTCAAAATTTTCTGTTGTTGCAAAAGGAAGTTAAGTTAATTGTTCAGAGGGTTACCAAGTGATGATAAGGGCAGCACAGAAATTACAAACTGAATGATGATAGCAAGATTGCACAGAGGGCTTGTTTCAGTTTGGCAGGTCATGGCAAGTAGTTCCACACCTGTATCTCGTTTGGATCATTGTTTTTCTCTTTTTGAAAGAAAAAAAATACCTTGACGTAACAGAGTTACAACATTTGCCAGTGTTGGGTGGCATGGCCGGAAACAAGTAGTCAGTGTGAAAAGATACAGTTTGGTTCTTACTTTGTCAGCTGGAGCTTTTCTCTGTAAAATGTTTCCATCTCAGCAATTCTGTGATTAAAAAAAAAGAGAATTTGGATCAGAGATCAGAAAATTAGCAAAAACTAATTATAGAAAATTTGTTAAGTGCTATGATTTTGAACAAACCGTTCTTTGTGATCCTGTTCATTTTTTTCACACCTGAGGCAGCTTGATTTCATGCCTGCATTAAGTCTTCGGAAAAAGAAGAAAATAACTTACATTAGGTCACTCTATTGTAATGAACTTAAAGGAATGTTTTTAAGACAGAACACATTTTTCATAGAATAACAAAATATAAAAAACATCCTTCTAATTTAAAAACAGACCTAGAAAACTGTGGAAGAAGTTTATAAACACTGAATCAATGTTTCACGCTTCATTTTTATTTTTTTATAGATTGTTTGATACTGTTGAATCTTAATCATACTTGCCTCTGCTTTTTTTGCTGTTCATGCAACATTTCAATTTCCTGCAGTCTGTAAAATACAGTTCAACATATATACTGTATTTTAGTCAAACATAACCCACTAATAGTAACATTTTATTTACTACTCAGTTTTAAAATATTTTTTGTGTTCATGTTGACAGCAGGATTTACAAAGTGCTTCAGTCTTTGGTGTGTTTAGTGTATATGACGCTAATAAAAAAAATCTATTATTTAATCTAATGTGTTTCTGTGAATACATTGTCCTTTTCTTCAGTGCAAATTATCTTCATTCCATCAAGCCTAACGTTACTCTAGCTCTGACAAATTTAACTTTACATATTGCTACTATCAGAGCACATTTACAACTGTGTTAAACTGAGTTATTTAATGATGAATATATCTAAGCAATTTTTTTTACTCTTTTAGAGAACTGCTGTTAACCTAAGGAGACTTGGTAAATATTATCAGCCGTATCTAAGAAGAAAACAGTTCTGTCTCCAGAGGCAGGATTTTCTAAAAAGTAGCCAATCGCAGGTAGTTTACTTTCTCAGGTTGGGTCCACCCTAAAAATAACATTAATACCCTCACAGGAATGCGCAAAATTTAGCAGTACAGCTGCAATGTAGGGCTTTATTAGGATTGGGTCTTACTTTCCATTCGTGCCATGCATGTTGATGTGGAAAACCCCATATCTCCTACATAAAAGATAGGAACGTCAGGGAGTCCCAATGCTAAAGGAACAATGATAGAAAGTATACAGCTTCCTCTTCCGACATCCTTTCTTATTGCCAGCACTATTTCCTCATCAAAGGAAACTGAGACATCAGTGGCGCTGGTCAATAGAGAGCGCTAGGATGCCTCCTCACTCACCCAATGACTTTGAAACATATAACACAAATAAAAATGTTATTATAGAATCAAAATATTTTTAAATATATTTGTGTTTTTTTTTAGATGTGCAATATCAATATTCAATCTTTAATGACGAGTAAAGCAGTTTGCTCGTCGTCTGATCGGTGACGTATTTCCACCCTGTGGCGCAAAAATCTTTGGCCATTGACTCTCATTAAAAGTTGTACATGCGCAATAGCTCCTCTGTAATGCAAAAGTAAAGCAAATCTCAGACGCAGGAGAGATTTCCTATCCTTTTGCAGGGACTTTCGTCACAGTTCTAGTGCGGCTGATTGACAGGTCAAGTGGCGGAAGTGAAATACCTTACAGCAAACTTACCAAGAGAAGCTGGGGTTAGAATCTAATCAGCCGAACATCAAAATTAATCAGCAGTCCAAAGACAGATGGAGACGGTTCAGTTGGTTTTTTTCCAGGACCTGGTTTAGCTAGAAGGCTTGGCTAACTGCATGCAGCGAGGCTAAGGCTTTATTCTGCTTTCCCTGCCTAATCTGACCCAGCATAGAGACAGGTATAGGAACCTTTCAGAAAAGGCAAAGAAGAGTGAACAATCTGGGATTCACATGAAAAATAATATAATATAGTGTACTTTTTGTAGGTATCCTTTAATTTGCATAGTTGCTGTTAAATAAACACTTTCTCAGAAAATAAATAGTTTTTATATATTAAAAAAAATATAAAGCTAACTAATAGCATTTCCATTATTAAACTGGTACATCTTCATCTACATTCTTTTGATATGTGATATAATATTGGACCATGCAAAACACAGATTTACCTTCACAAAACCTTAGGAGGGCAAAATGTATGTTCAAAAAGTAAACCTGTACGTAAAAATTATGTGTATATAAAGTATTTTTATAATAATGTTTTTTGTTGTTTTTCATTATTATACGTTTGATTGGGTTTTTGAATGTGTAGCCCCCCTGGAGAAAACTCCACCAGCCGGCACTGCTTTCTGTTTGTCTTGCTTGACATTTTTAGCTATTCTTGGCATTTCACAGTTTGTATATTTCAAATCTGACCCAGATCTATAAGTTCCATTACTGTTACTACTATGGACTGACCAGTTCAGTTTGTGTTTAAACCTTACCTCATTTTGGTAGATTTCAGTTCCTCTTCTTTTATTTTCAAAACAGATCTGTAGGAAAAGAAATATTTAATGCCAGTTGTGTAAAGAACCCTAAATGAAATTTGCCAAAAAATGTACACATACTTACATAAGTCACAATATAAAGGGTTGACAACAGCAGCTAATTACTTCCTTTGTTTTTGTTATAGGTTTGTTTTGTTTCCTAAACCTTATTTTGAGGGTATAAGGCTAAGTTAAAATTATTGTGCACTTTTTATGCTGCAGGTTTAATAGTTTGTATTTGTGTTTTTTTTTTACATTGTTCTGACTGAATATAATACATTTTGCAGTGGCATTTACTCCTTTGGTCAATTCTAAAATAGGCACTCAATTTAGCCTCAAAGTAGCTTCAAAGACAGATAGAAAGCATGTTATAAGTTGTTTTAATTATTTGTAAGGTAATGTTCATTCATATCTGTAGAATGTCTTGTATTTTATTATTAAATAGCTGGCAACAGTTGACTAGGATGATGTTAACTGGTCTTTAAAGGGATAGTTCGGTATTTTTGACATGAATCTGTATGGCATCCTCATCACCAGTGTCATGCAATCACACTGACTTACCCCTGGCAGCGTCCTGTGAGCAGAGTTCTCGTCCAGTTTTGGTCAAGCCGAAAGTAGTCCGGCAGGTTTGCTAGACCCAGCGAAATAAAACGTTTCTCTTCCCAAAACATTATGTGTTCAAAAGAGTGATATTTTTGCATCCCAAAAACGTTATAGTGGAAAAAGTCACACGTCGTTATCACTTGGTCCTATTTTCTCTCTGTTCGTATCAGTGCGCGCCGTCATTCAGACAGCTAGGGCCTACTAACCTGACAACAGCCAGATGCATGTCTCCCTCCGCCCAGCTAGGAGCTAGGCGGAGGGAGACATGCATCTGGCTGTTGTTGAGCTCGCTGTCTGAATGACGTGATGATGAGGATGCCATACAGATTCATGTCAAAAATACCGAACTATCCCTTTAAGACGCTAATATCTCCTGTCCTTATTTACTTTTTCATTGCTCTTATGGACTTTGTTTAAGATTAATATATAAATTTAGAAAACATGCTAATAGAGAAATGTTTGGGAGGGGGTAGAACATTTGATTTATGAGAAGTTGGAGTAAACAGTATTGGACAATGTTATTTACAAGGCAGGTGGTATGTGTCATGGTCTTGGTTCTGCTGTTCTTTACTTTGCTCCTTGTTTTCTAGATTTATTGGTTTAATTCCAGTTTTGTTGTATTTCTAGATTTATATTAGTTCTCATGTTTTTCTGTTGTCCCCTTTTGCCCTCTTGTGTGTGTATGTTCCTTTCCCCTTGGCTCCCTCGTTGTCTCCTCTCACACCTGTTCCTTGTCTGCTCGTTAGCCCTCCCTTTGTCTCTCTCTCCTATATATGCCCTCCCTCTGCTCTCACTCTTTGTTGGTTCCTTGTCTTTGCTGTCCTTCCATGCTGTTGTCCATGTTCCTCGTCTCTCCCTGGCTCCTCGTGTTTGGTTTTCCCCAGATGTCTTCTCAGTTCTGGTTTGCCTTTCATTATTAGTTGGATTTTTGGATTCCTGCCTTTGTTTACTGTTTTGCCTCATTAAGAAATCCAGAAATCTCCTCAGCCTCTGCATTTGGGTCCTCCAAACCAAAACTAAACCCTGACAGTATGAGTAATAAGGAAACAATCAGCTCCATCATTATGAATACACCACTCATCTAAAAAATGCCCAGGTCTATTTTTGTGTTGGCTGTTGATTTGGCATCCCCACTTTCAAAGTATTTGTCTTAACTTGGTCTTCGCTTTTTCTTGGAAAAGGTGTTCTTGACTATATTGCTGAAGTTATGCATCCTTCGCAAATACTTTCAATACTTAAAAAAAAAGTAGTGTTTTGCAGCTAGAATTTAGTAGCAAATTGTAAAACCAACTTAATCCGAGGGGCACTTACCTCAGCCCATCAAGCTTTTTTTTTGTAAAGTGTCTCTATTTCAATAACTGTTTTGATATATATGTGTTTTTTTCTTCTTTATCTCTTAAAATGGAAACTTGCTGTATAGTTCAATAAATGAATTGAAAATTTACAAAAGATTTTGTGTAACGTTTTGAAAAGGTAAGCATTTGTAAGCTGATTCGTGATATCCCAAATAAACAATAAACTCATCAAAAAACAAACTAAACTAATTAAGAAGGCCAGCTCTGTTCTAGGTGCTCCTCTAAAACCTCTGGAGTTGATTTCCCAAAGAAGATTTTTTCATAAAGTGACAAAGATCTTGGAAAACAGTGAGCATCCTCTTCAGTAGATTTTTATACAAGTGTCTTCATTCAGGGGCTTTTCCAGATCTATTGCAAGACAGACCTCTACAGAAAATCATCCTTGCACACAGCTATCAAAACCATCAAAACCTGATACAAAATTAATTATGAGTTGTGCAATATTGAATTTCTTTTTGGGTTAATAAAGTATGTTCGTAATTGAATTGAATAATGAACCCAATCTGGGATTCTGCTAGGAAGACAATGGAAATCTAAATGTGATGCAGCAGGTATTCTCACCAACTAGTACAGCTGTTCTATTTGTGAGATAAACCTTCAATATTCTCCAGATGTCTGAACAAAACAATAGGGTTGAAATCTTTCCAAAACTATTTCTGCTCTCTCTAAAGTGAGTATTTTGGGTCAGGGGACTATTTGCACTGTTTTTTTTTTACTTAAATGTTTCCTCTGTTAGCTCTTGCTGTACATAATAATTTCCTCATGTTTATCCTAGGTCCCCATTCAGCTGGAGTATTGGTTCAGTTTTTTTCTTTTTTGCGTGAACCTTTCTTTAAATGATGTCAGTTCTTACTCTTTTTGTTTCAAAACTGACCTGTGGGTGTAAAATGCAAAAAATGGCCACCATGAATTAGTGTAGGAAATCTGTACGGAACCCTACTGGGGATTATAACTAGTATCAAAACAGAACTGAAACAATCTATTTCAAAATATTTAAGCTAGTTCTGATGGTCTGTTTTTGACCAATTTACAATGCAGATATAATTATATAAAGACTAACCTCTCCTCATTCAGCTTGTCTTTGTAAAAAGTCTCCATCTCAGCCAGTCTGTAGAAAACACAGTAAAGATTATTTTTAAAAGTTATTGCTTCAAGCATAAATAAATTAAGATGGATTTATTTTAAAGACAGGGGGAAAACGATCCTTTATTTCAGATAACAACCTCAGTTTGTGCTCCTGTTGATGTTGTTCACACTGCTGGTGCCTGGACCTTGATACTGACTGTCTCTGAAGTCTGTAGGAGGGCAGAGAAAACAAATTCACTATTTATTAACCTTACAAAGTCCAGTCATCACTTAGCGGTCAGCAGTTAGTGGGTCGACTTGTGTTTGAAAAACCCACATTCATATGATCATTACCAAGGGAAACAGGGAATATAGAGGACTGTCAGATGAGATGTTTTTTAAAGGCCAGGGATTGCAATGAAACCAAATTTTACTGATTCTGAAAGGACTCAGGGAACACGACGGAAATTAGCTCAGAAAACTACAATCTAGTATAAAATAGATTTCAGTGAAAGGAATGTTTCTCCACATTCTCCCTAATCCATAAACGCAATAAACATATGAACACATAATGCAGCCAATGTGCAACAGGAAGTGAAACCTTTAAAGACACAATGACTTAAAAAAAAAAAAAAAAAAAAAAAAAAAAAAAAAAAAACTGATGACTGGATTTAATGCAGGAATAGTTCCTGATGTTAGCAACTAAAGAAAAAAAGTAAAAGAGAAACTAAAAGAAATGAACAAATTTCTGAACAAACAATTGCAAATGGTTGTGCAAATTAACTATACTTGGATTTATTTCTACAGTTCTTTAATATTCTATTGTATTCTCTTCTTTTCTTTTTTTATTCTATTCTATTAGTCTTACTTCTTGTCAGAGAGTAGATCTTGGCAATGTAACTCCATCAAAGAAAATCAGTAACATGAAACTGAACGACTCATAAATAATGAGACCTTAAATCATCACCATAGCACTAAATTATAATTTCATGTTTTATGTTAAAAAGTCAGGGCATAGGACAGGATGTGATGCTGATGTGTATTACCTCTGTCCTTCTTTTTTCAAAGTTGATCTGTGAGGCAAAATAACATGTTTAATTGAATAAAAAAAAAACATATACACTATATTGCCAAAAGTATTTGCTCACCTGCCTTGACTCACATATGAGCTTAAGTGACATCCCGTTCCTAATCCATAGGGTTCAATATGACGTCGGTCCACCCTTTGCAGCTAGAACAGCTTCAACTCTTCTGGGAAGGCTGTCCACAAGGTTTAGGAGTGTGTTTATGGGAATTTTTGACCATTCTTCCAGAAGCGCATTTGTGAGGTCGCACACTGATGTTGGACGAGAAGGCCTGGCTCTCAGTCTCCGCTCTAATTCATCCCAAAGGTGTTCTATCGGGTTGAGGTCAGGACTCTGTGCAGGCCAGTCAAGTTCATCCACACCAGACTCTGTCATCCATGTCTTTATGGACCTTGCTTTGTGCACTGGTGCACAGTCATGTTGGAAGAGGAAGGGGCCAGCTCCAAACTGTTCCCACAAAGTTGGGAGCATGGAATTGTCCAAAATGTCTTGGTATGCTGAAGCATTCAGAGTTCCTTTCACTGGAACTAAGGGGCCAAGCCCAGCTCCTGAAAAACAACCTCACACCATAATCCCCCCTCCACCAAACTTTACACTTGGCACAATGCAGTCAGACAAGTACCGTTCTCCTGGCAACCGCCAAACCCAGACCCGTCCATCAGATTGCCAGATGGAGAAGCGCGATTCGTCACTCCAGAGAACGCGTCTCCACTGCTCTAGAGTCCAGTGGCGGCGTGCTTTACACCACCGCATCCGACGCTTTGCATTGCACTTGGTGATGTATGGCTTGGATGCAGCTGCTCGACCATGGAAACCCATTCCATGAAGCTCTCTGCGCACTGTTCTTGAGCTAATCTGAAGGCCACATGAAGTTTGGAGGTCTGTAGTGATTGACTCTGCAGAAAGTTGGCGACCTCTTCGCACTATGCGCGTCAGCATCCGCTGACCCCGCTCCGTCAGTTTACGTGGCCTACCACTTCGTGGCTGAGTTGCTGTCGTTCCCAAACACTTCCATTTTCTTATAATACAGCTGACAGTTGACTGTGGAATATTTAGGAGCGAGGAAATTTCACGACTGGATTTGTTGCACAGGTGGCATCCTATCACAGTTCCACGCTGGAATTCACTGAGCTCCTGAGAGCGACCCATTCTTTCACAAATGTTTGTAAAAACAGTCTGCATGCCTAGGTGCTTGAATTTATACACCTGTGGCCATGGAAGTGATTGGAACACCTGATTCCAATAATTTGGATGGGTGAGCAAATACTTTTGGCAATATAGTGTATATATATATTTTTTTTTTTTATTCAATTTGATTAAACATATCATTTATGTCATGACTATTTGTAAAATTATTTAATAACTCAAACAAAATCACCCTGACTTGAAATTTCCTTTTAACAGTTTCTGCTTACCAATTTTAATATTTATCCTCTAACTTTCAGCTTTGTGCTGATAAAGCGACACATTTAATAGCTAAACTGTTAACATAAAGATGAATGAAGTTGTGAATATAAAAGATAGAGAAAAAAATTCCTCTTATCAATCTTCCCTAAAACAAGCTCAGTTCTCCCTGGAGTCAGTTAGGTCAATAAAAATAACTTTATATTAGCTTTATAAAAACAAACTTACATTTCTTCATGAAGACGTTGGTTCTGTTTGATTGATTCAGCCAATCTGTTTAAAACAGGATTCATAAGTTCCTTAATTAATGGTTTAATAGTTCATCTTTAATATAACAGAATGCTATTGTAAATAATGGGATCCTGTCTGTCTAAGGGCTTTGTAAATTATGTTTAGTTGACATTGCATTACTTCATATAAAACAGAGCCTTTAATCATAGAGAAAATATCCCAGTCCCATCTAATGTCTCTGGTATTCCACAGGCTGCCCATTCTAAAATATTTTCATTATTTTTGCATGTACAACACCTCTCTTTGAATGACATCAGTTCTTCTTGGTTTTGCTGCAATGCAGATCTGAGTGTATAAAACGCAGAACAAGAAATAGGGTTTATATTAATACATTTTCAGAAGCAGTAAATTGATTGTTAGAGGAATGGAGCTCAAATTAATATCAGATATGTTGAAAAGATTGTATCATGTGTCTATTGTATATCAGACTCCCAGTGTCACTGATAATATATATTAAATGGTCGTAAATAAACCAATCAAAACACCCTGCCTGTTATATTGATCTGCTTTTAACTGCTTTGTTATGCAGACATAATTCTATAAAGACTAACCTCTCCTCATTCAGCTTGTCTTTGTAAAATGTCTCCATCTCAGCTAGTCTGTAGAAGCCAAAAACCGTAAACAACAGTTAAAACTCACAGTAAAGATTATTTAAAAAAAATTACTACTTCAAGCGTAAATAAGTTAAGATGGATTTATTTTAAAGACAGGGGAAAACGATCCTTTATTTCAGATAGCAACCTCAGTTTGTGCTCCTGTTGATGTTGTTCACACTGCTGGCACCTGGACCTTGATACTGACTGTCTCTGAAGTCTGCAAGAGGGCAGAGAAAACAAATTCAATGTTCATTAACCTTAGAAAGTCCAGTCATCACTTAGCGGTCAGCAGTTAGAGGGTCAACTTGTGTTTTAAAAACCCACATTAATATGATCATTACCAAGGGAAACAGGCAATAGAGTTGATATTGGTTTTGTGATACAGCGGAATGTCAGATGAGAGGTTTTCTAAAGGCCAGGGATTGCAATTAAACAAAATTTTACTGATTCTGAAAGGACTCAGGGAACATGACGGAAATTAGCTCAGAAAACTACAATCTAGTTTAAAATAGATTTCAAAGTGAAACGAATGCTTCTCAACATTCTCCTTAATCCATAAACGCAATAAACATATGGCCAAATAATGCAGCCAGTGTGCAACAGGAAGTGAAACCTTTAAATACACAATGACTTAAAAAAAAAAAAAAAACTGATGACTGGATTTAATGCAGGAACAGTTCTTGATATTAGCAAAAAGAAAAACAAAAAAACAAAAAAACTGAAGAAAAAAGTAAAAGAGAAACTAAAAGAAATGAACAAATGGTTATTTTACAATTTAACTATACTTGGATTTATTTCTACAGTTCTTTAATACTCTATTGTATTCTTTTTTTATTCTATTCTATTAGTCTTACTTCTTGTCAGAGAGTAGATCTTGGCAATGTAACTCCATCAAAGAAAATCAGTAACATGAAACTGAACGACTCATAAATAATGAGACCTTAAATCATCACCATAGCACTAAATTATAATTTCATGTTTTATGTTAAAAAGTCAGGGCATAGGACAGGATGTGATGCTGATGTGTATTACCTCTGTCCTTCTTTTTTCAAAGTTGATCTGTGAGGCAAAATAACATGTTTAATTGAATAAAAAAAAAAAATATATATATATATATTTTTTTTTTTATTCAATTTGATTAAACATATCATTTATGTCATGACTATTTGTAAAATTATTTAATAACTCAAACAAAATCACCCTGACTTGAAATTTCCTTTTAACAGTTTCTGCTTACCAATTTTAATATTTATCCTCTAACTTTCAGCTTTGTGCTGATAAAGCGACACATTTAATAGCTAAACTGTTAACATAAAGATGAATGAAGTTGTGAATATAAAAGATAGAGAAAAAAATTCCTCTTATCAATCTTCCCTAAAACAAGCTCAGTTCTCCCTGGAGTCAGTTAGGTCAATAAAAATAACTTTATATTAGCTTTATAAAAACAAACTTACATTTCTTCATGAAGACGTTGGTTCTGTTTGATTGATTCAGCCAATCTGTTTAAAACAGGATTCATAAGTTCCTTAATTAATGGTTTAATAGTTCATCTTTAATATAACAGAATGCTATTGTAAATAATGGGATCCTGTCTGTCTAAGGGCTTTGTAAATTATGTTTAGTTGACATTGCATTACTTCATATAAAACAGAGCCTTTAATCATAGAGAAAATATCCCAGTCCCATCTAATGTCTCTGGTATTCCACAGGCTGCCCATTCTAAAATATTTTCATTATTTTTGCATGTACAACACCTCTCTTTGAATGACATCAGTTCTTCTTGGTTTTGCTGCAATGCAGATCTGAGTGTATAAAACGCAGAACAAGAAATAGGGTTTATATTAATACATTTTCAGAAGCAGTAAATTGATTGTTAGAGGAATGGAGCTCAAATTAATATCAGATATGTTGAAAAGATTGTATCATGTGTCTATTGTATATCAGACTCCCAGTGTCACTGATAATATATATTAAATGGTCGTAAATAAACCAATCAAAACACCCTGCCTGTTATATTGATCTGCTTTTAACTGCTTTGTTATGCAGACATAATTCTATAAAGACTAACCTCTCCTCATTCAGCTTGTCTTTGTAAAATGTCTCCATCTCAGCTAGTCTGTAGAAGCCAAAAACCGTAAACAACAGTTAAAACTCACAGTAAAGATTATTTAAAAAAAATTACTACTTCAAGCGTAAATAAGTTAAGATGGATTTATTTTAAAGACAGGGGAAAACGATCCTTTATTTCAGATAGCAACCTCAGTTTGTGCTCCTGTTGATGTTGTTCACACTGCTGGCACCTGGACCTTGATACTGACTGTCTCTGAAGTCTGCAAGAGGGCAGAGAAAACAAATTCAATGTTCATTAACCTTAGAAAGTCCAGTCATCACTTAGCGGTCAGCAGTTAGAGGGTCAACTTGTGTTTTAAAAACCCACATTAATATGATCATTACCAAGGGAAACAGGCAATAGAGTTGATATTGGTTTTGTGATACAGCGGAATGTCAGATGAGAGGTTTTCTAAAGGCCAGGGATTGCAATTAAACAAAATTTTACTGATTCTGAAAGGACTCAGGGAACATGACGGAAATTAGCTCAGAAAACTACAATCTAGTTTAAAATAGATTTCAAAGTGAAACGAATGCTTCTCAACATTCTCCTTAATCCATAAACGCAATAAACATATGGCCAAATAATGCAGCCAGTGTGCAACAGGAAGTGAAACCTTTAAATACACAATGACTTAAAAAAAAAAAAAAAAAACTGATGACTGGATTTAATGCAGGAACAGTTCTTGATATTAGCAAAAAGAAAAACAAAAAAACAAAAAAACTGAAGAAAAAAGTAAAAGAGAAACTAAAAGAAATGAACAAATGGTTATTTTACAATTTAACTATACTTGGATTTATTTCTACAGTTCTTTAATACTCTATTGTATTCTTTTTTTATTCTATTCTATTAGTCTTACTTCTTGTCAGAGAGTAGATCTTGGCAATGTAACTCCATCAAAGAAAATCAGTAACATGAAACTGAACGACTCATAAATAATGAGACCTTAAATCATCACCATAGCACTAAATTATAATTTCATGTTTTATGTTAAAAAGTCAGGGCATAGGACAGGATGTGATGCTGATGTGTATTACCTCTGTCCTTCTTTTTTCAAAGTTGATCTGTGAGGCAAAATAACATGTTTAATTGAATAAAAAAAAAAATATATATATATATATATATTTTTTTTTTTATTCAATTTGATTAAACATATCATTTATGTCATGACTATTTGTAAAATTATTTAATAACTCAAACAAAATCACCCTGACTTGAAATTTCCTTTTAACAGTTTCTGCTTACCAATTTTAATATTTATCCTCTAACTTTCAGCTTTGTGCTGATAAAGCGACACATTTAATAGCTAAACTGTTAACATAAAGATGAATGAAGTTGTGAATATAAAAGATAGAGAAAAAAATTCCTCTTATCAATCTTCCCTAAAACAAGCTCAGTTCTCCCTGGAGTCAGTTAGGTCAATAAAAATAACTTTATATTAGCTTTATAAAAACAAACTTACATTTCTTCATGAAGGTGTTGGTTCTGTTTGATTGATTCAGCCAATCTGTTTAAAACAGGATTCATAAGTTCCTTAATTAATGGTTTAATAGTTCATCTTTAATATAACAGAATGCTATTGTAAATAATGGGATCCTGTCTGTCTAAGGGCTTTGTAAATTATGTTTAGTTGACATTGCATTACTTCATATAAAACAGAGCCTTCAATCATAGAGAAAATATCCCAGTCCCATCAGCAACATGGTCAAAATACTGGTCACCAGCTGGGGAGAAGGGCAGGCGGTCATGGTGACAGAATTCAGGAGGATACTCAGGAACACTTTTACTCGGGAGGGGGTGAGGCTGCTCTTCTCCAAGTTCACCCTCAAACCCAGCCGATGCACATGGGAGAGCACCAACTGATTTTCCCGGATAGCCTGACTGTGGGTTGAGGCACAAATCAGCCAATCATCCAGAAAAGCCAGGATCCAAATTCCCCGTGCCTGCAGGGGGATAGAGCTGCTGCCACAACCCTGGTGAACACTCGGGGAGACAGGGAAAGCCCAAAGGGGAGTACCCTGAAATGATAGTGGTGCCCCTGGAATGCAAAGCGGAGAAACCGCCAGTGAACCTGTGCCACGGGGACATGGAAATATACATCCCGCAGGTCGATTGATGTAAACCAATGGCATGCGGAGATCGCCTGTAGAACCCCTTTGGTCGTAAGCATGCGGAAGGGCATGTCCTTCAGGTAGGTGTTGAGCCCCCTGAGGTCCAGAACTGGATGAAGATCCCCTGTCTTTTTTTGACCAGAAAATACACCGAGTAAAAGCCCCCTGAATCCAGAAGGGGGTCCACAGGCATTATTGCACCCTTGCCCAGCAGGGCACATAGCTCATTTGACAGTGCCTGTGCCATCAGAGGGTTGTGGATGATGGTCATCTGAACTTTTCCATAAGTCCGGTGCCAGTGGCGGAACCGGAGACGGTATCATCTGGTCAGAGTGGAGAATACCCAAAAATCTGGGGTGCATTCGCCCCAGTACGAAAGCTGACCTGAGGTAAAATATCCAACCACTGGCCCCAGTGCTTCACCTACGGGGCCGACGGTCACGCCTGTGGAGCCCTGCAAGCTGCTCCCTGGTGCGAGAAGACTGTACATTGCGTTCTAGAGCTTCAAGTGCAGCTGAGCCGAAAAGTTCCCCTGGGACGACCAGCAAGGTGTGGAGTGTCCCTCTCCAGGGTTCAGTGAGTGGTGGCTAAGCCAGCCACACCTGGTGCTGAGCACAGACCAGGGAGAGACGCATCCAGCATGCCTAGACTCGACTGGTCAAGCGATCCGCCCTTCAGGGCAGATGCAAGATCCAGCAGCAAATGGGAGAGGGAGTTTCCAATATGCATGGGGGAGAACGCTGTAATTGGAGCAGGCGGCATCAGTAAGTGCCTCCTTGAGGTGATCAACACCCAGACAAGGGGGGCACAGGTCATGACCATCCTCAGGTTGCAGAGGAGCCAAGCAGGTGGAAAAAGAGAGATGTTCCATATCCCGGTAATTGAGCCCGTACTCCGGAGCAACATCACCAGCTCGACAGGGCAGACATTGCCCCCAGTGAGGTAAACACAAACAGCGACAAGCTGTTTCAATTATGTCTAACCAAGGAACTCAACATGGGCAGAGAACGGCACAGCCGAGGTAACTATAAACAAAAAAACATATGTTGTAGTCAAAACAAACCAAGGAACTCAGCACGGGCAGAAAATGCCGCTGGTGAGATATGTTATAATTAAGCCAAAGCAAGTAACTCAGCGTGGGCAGAAAACACCACTGGCGAGGTAAATAAAATGAACAGTATCAGCTGTAACAGCCACCAGCTGATAAATTAAACAACACAGCGGGGAGAGACGCTACCCGCGGGATTCTGAAAATGAAAAGAAGACAGACTCACCGGACACCAGATGAGATCTGTAGGCACAACAATCGTCAGTTGCGCACCCCTGGAGGACGAGCACACCCGCAGCTCTGATCCTAAACGGTCACAGGGCTACTAGCATCAAGCTTAAGGAGGAAGCGGTAATACAGAGAGACTCACACTTCTGTAAAAAGAAACTGCTCACAACAAACCCGCGTGCGAGAAGATGAGAAGGGACTGAACTACCAGTGTCATGTGCCTATATAGGCTTCCGCTGATCACCGGTAGGTCACATGTGACTTTGTTGATACTAATACTCAACCTACGCAAGTGCAAGAGTGATCATTCTGTGCTTGAACAACCGCCTCTGGCGGTCAGTAGGGATGAAATACAACCTTTGAAGACACACAGACTTTTTTTTATAAAAACTGATGACTGGAACAGTTCCTGATATTAGCTAAGAGAAAAATGAAAAAACAAACTAAAGCAGCACATCACCCCCACTATAAATAGTGTTGGTACTGCACTGCTTCCCTCTCCTGAGATGCCGGATTGTGGACCAGAATCGCTTTGAAGCCGTACAGTAGTCTTTCTTCATGGCCTCTCCAAACTTTTCCCACGCCTGAGTTTTTGCCTCAGTGACCAACAGAGCCACCTGCCGCTTTGACTGCCGGTACACATCAGCTGCTTCTGGAGTCCCACAGTTCAATAAAGCCTGATAGGACTCCTTCTTCAGCTTAACAGCTTCCCTCACCGCTGGTGTGGACTTCGAGGGTTGCCTCTGTGACATGCACCGACAACCTTGCAGCCACAGCTCCGACTAGCCGCCTCAACGATGAAGGCACGGAATATGGTCCACTCACACTCAATGTCCCCCGCCTCACTCAAAACGTGTTCAAAGCTCTGCCGGAGATGGGAGTTAAAGCTCCTTCTCACAGGGGACTCTGCCAGTTTTTCCCAGCAGACCCTCACAATACGTTTGGCTCCGATGGTGGGGGAGGACGCAAAATAAGATGTTTGATAAAATTTAAAAAATACAAATATTTTTATGAATTTGATTAGATATATCATTTATGTCATGAATATTTGTTAAATTATTTAATAACTCAAACAAAAACATTCTGAATTGAAATTCCATTTAACAGTTTCTGCTTACCAATTTTAATATTTATCCTCTAACTTTCAGCTTTGTGCTGATAAAGCGACACATTTAATAGCTAAACTGTTAACAAAAAGATGAATAAAGTTGTGAATATAAAAGATAGAGAGAAAAGTCCTCTTATCAATCTTCCCTAAAACAAAGTTCTGTTCTCCCTAAAGTCAAGTAGGTCAATTAAAATAATTTTGTTATAGCTTACAAAAGAAAACTTACATTTCTTCATGAAGGTGTTGGTTCTGTTTGATTGATTCAGCCAATCTGTTTAGAACAGGATTCATTAGTTCCTTAATTAATGGTTTAATAGTTTACCTTTAATAAAACGGAATGCTATTGTAAACAATGGGATCCTGTCTGTCTAAGGGCTATGTAAATTATGTTTATTTGACATTGCATTACTTTATATAAAACAGGGCCTTTAATCATAGAGAAATTATACCAGTCCCGTCTAATTTCTCTGGTATTCCACAGGCTGCCCATTATAAAATATTTGAATTGTTTTTGGATATACAACACCTCTCTTTGAATGACATCAGTTCTTCTTGGTTTTGCTGCAGAGCAGATCTGAGTGTATAAAACGCAAAACAAGATACAGGGTTTACATTAATACATTTTCAGAAGCACTAAATTGATTGTTAGTGGAATGGAGCTGAAATTAATATCAGATATGTTGAAAAAGAGTATATCATGTATCTATTATATATAAGACTCCCAGGGTCCCCAATAATATATATTAAAAGGTGGTAAATCAATCAAAACAAGATGTATTGATCTTCTTCCTACTGCTTTGTTATGCAGACATAATTCTATAAAGACTGACCTCTCCTCATTCAGCTTGTCTTTGTAAAACGTCTCCATCTCAGCCAGTCTGTAGAAGCCAAAAACCGTAAACAACAGTTAAAACTCACAGTAAAGATTTTTTTTTTTAAATTACTATTGCAAGTATAAATAATTTAAGATGTATTTATTTGAAAGACAGGGGAAAAACGATCCTTCATTTCAGATAGCAACCTCAGTTTGTGCTCCTGTTGATGTTGTTCACACTGCTGGCACCTGGACCTTGATACTGACTGTCTCTGAAGTCTGTAGGAGGGCAGAGAAAACAAATTCAATGTTCAATAACCTTAGAAAATCCAGTCATCATTTAGCAGTCAGTAGTTAGTGGGTCAACCTGTGTTTGAAAACCCCCCATTGATAATATCCATGGGAAACAGGCAATAGAGTTGGTGTTGGTGATGTGATACAGCGGAATGTCAGATGAGAGGTTTTCTAAAGGCCAGGGATTGCAATGAAACCACATTTTACTGATTCTGAAAGGACTCAGGGAACAAGACAAATTAGCTCAGAAAACTACAATCTAGTATGAAAAAGATTTCAAGGTGAAAGGAATGTTTCTCCACATTCTCCTTAATCCATAAACGGAATAAACAAATGATCAAATAATGCAGCCATTTGCAACAGGAAGTAAAACCTTTGAAGACACAATGACTTAAAAAAAAACAAAAAACTGATGACTGGATTTAATGCATTAGCAAAAAGTAAAACGAAAAAACAAACTAAAGAAGAAAGTAAAAAAGAAACTAAAAGAAATTTACAAATGGTGATTGTACAATTTAAATATACTTGGATTTATTTCTGGAGTTCTTTCATATTCTATTCTATTCTATTCTATTAGTCTTACTTCTTGTCAGAGAGTAGATCTTGGTAAGACAACATCACTGAAAATCAGTGACATGAAACTGAACAACTCATAAAAAATGAGACCTTAAATTATCACCATAGCACTAAATTATAATTTCATGTTTTGTGTTAAAATGTCAAAGCATAGAACAGGATGTGATGCTGATGTGTATTACCTCTGTCCTTTTTTCAAAGCTGATCTGTGAAGCAAAAATATATATAATATATAAGCAGAAATATGAATAATTTGATAAATTTGATTAAACATATGATTTATGTCATGACTATTTGTAAAATTATTTAAAAACTCAAACAAAATAATTTCCTTTGACAGTTTCTGCTTACCAATTATATTTTTATCCTTTAACTTTCAGCTTTGTGCTGATAAAGCGACACATTTAATAGCTAAACTGTTAACATAAAGATGAATGAAGTTGTGAATATAAAAGATAGAGAGAAAAAATACTTTTGTTGATCTTCCCTAAAACAAGTTCAGTTCTCCCTGATGTCAGTCAGGTCAATTAAAATAACTTTATATTAGCTTTATAAAAACAAACTTACATTTCTTCATGAAGGTGTTGGTTCTGTTTGATTGATTCAGCCAATCTGTTTAAAACAGGATTCATAAGTTCCTTAATTAATGGTTTAATAGTTCATCTTTAATAAAACACAATGCTACTGTAAATAATGTAACCCTGTCTGTCTAAGCGCTACATAAATTATGTTTACCTTATTTGACTTTCATTACTTTATATAGAGCAGAGCCTTTAACCATAGAGAAAATATCCCAGTCCCATCTAATGTCTCTGGTATTCCACTGACTGCCCATCCTAAAATAATCAGTTTGACTGTATGATCCGGTGAACTGTAAAGTGCCTTGAGATGACATGTGTTGTGAATTGGAGCTATAGAAATAAACTGAATTGAATTGAAACTTTTTGTATGTACAACACCTCTCTTTGAATGATATCAGTTCTTCTTGGTTTTGTTTCAGAGCAGATCTGAGTGTATAAAATGCAAAAAAGAAACAGGGTTTATATTAATACATTTTCAGAAGCAGTAAATTGATTGTTAGTGGAATGGAGCTCTAATTAATATCAGATATGTATAAAAAGAGTGTATCATGTGTCTATTGTATATCAGACTACCAGTGTCACTGATAATTAAAATGGGGTAAATAAACCAATCAAAACACTTTGACAGTTGTATTGATATGGAGCCTAGGCGGAACCACACCTCAACAAAAGCCAATCGACATCTAAAGTTAATCTTAAAAGGCCGCCGATCAGCAACTTGTCTGCTCCTGTGCGCAGGTGTCGGATCCACTGTGTGACTTTATTCAGATGAGCCAGATTCAACCCACCTCCAGCTCCTCCTCCACCATCGTACCTAAAGCTTCATCAGAGTGTCATTCCTCCCAGACTCTTACTGCGTTCCCTGTCTCATCTCAATGGGGAGTTTTTCCTCTCCACTGTCACTTCATGCTTGCTCATCATGGACAACCTGTGTTATCTAAACTGGACTTTCATCTCCCAGGTCCCTGAGTGAAGCTCTAGTATAAGCTCCCGTATTCCACTGGATCTCCCCATAAAGCTCAGCATACTGTCTCGCTAACCAGCAGTCTACAGACTGACCAACTTCATCTATCTCAACTCCACCACCAGTTTCAGGCCTGCGGGGAAACAGCCCTGTTTTTTGCTCTTGTTCATGCATATCTATCCCAATTAAGCGCTGTTTCCTACCGAGTTCTGAGCGCCAAAGACAAAGTAATTGTATAAATAAATTTATTTAAATTTTTTTTTTTTGTTTGTGTGAGTTTTTAGATTGAACAGATTTTTATTGCTTTATTATGCAGACATAATTCTATAATGACTAACCTCTCCTCATTCAGCTTGTCGTTGTAAAAATTCTCCATCTCAGCCAGTCTGTAGAAGCCAAAAACCAGTTAAAACTCACAGTAAAGAAAGACAGGGGAAAACAATCCTTTATTTCAGATAGCAACCTCAGTTTGTGCTCCTGTTGATGTTGTTCACACTGCTGGTGCCTGGACCTTGATATTGACTGTCTCTGAAGTCTGCAGGAGGGCAGAGAAAACAAATTCAATGTTCATTAACTTTAGAAAGTCCAGTCATCACTTTGCGGTCAGCAGTTAGTGGGTCAACCTGTGTTTGAAAAACCCACATTAACCTGATAATATCCATGGGAAACAGGGAATAGAGTTGATATTGGTTTTGTGATACAGTGGGATGTCAGATGAGAGGTTTTCTAAAGGCCAGGGATTGCAATGAAACCAAATTTTACTGATTCTGAAAGGACTCAGGGAACACAACGGAAATTAGCTCAGAAAACTACAATCTAGTATGAAATAGATTTCAAAGTGAAAGGAATGTTTCTCCACATTCTCCCTAATCCATAAATGGAATAAACATATGAACACATAATGCAGCCAGTTTGCAACAGGAAGGGAAACTTTTGGAGACACAATGGCTTTTTTATAAAAAACTGATGACTGGATTTCATGCAGCAACAGTTCCTGATATTAGCAAAAAGAAAAAAAACGAAAGTAAAAAAAAAAATAAGGAAAAAATTAAAAGAGAAACTAGTAGAAATGAACAAATGGTGGTTGTACAATTTAACTATACTTGGATTTCTTTCCAGAGTTCTTTCATATTCTATTCTATTCTATTTTTTTTTATTCTATTCTATTAGTCTTACTTCTTGTCAGTGAGTAGATCATGATAATGTAACTCCATCACAGAAAATCAAAGACATGAGATTTAACAACTCATAAAAAATCAGACCTTAAATCATCACCATAGCACTAAATTATAATTTCATGTTTTATGTTAAAAAGTCAGGGCATAGAACAGGATGTGATGCTGATGTGTATTACCTCTGTCCTTGTTTTTTCAAAGCTGATCTGTGAAGAAAAATAAAATGTTTAATAAAATTAAAAAATACAAGTATTTTTATCAATTTGATTAAGCATATCATTTATGTCATGACTATGTGTAAAATGATTTAAAAACTCAAACAAAATCACCCTGACTTGAAATTTCCTTTAACAGTTTCTGCTTACCAATTATGATCTTATCCTTTAACTTTCAGCTTTGTGCTGACAAAGCGATATATTTAATAGCTAAACTGTTAACATAAAGATGAATAAAGTTGTGAATATAAAAGATAGAGAGAAAAATTCTCTTATCAATCTTCCCTAAAACAAGTTCAGTTCTCCCTGATGTCAGTTAGGTCAATTGAAATAACTTTATATTAGCTTTATAAAAACAAACTTACATTTCTCCATGAAGGTGTTGGTTCTGTTTGATTGATTCAGCCAATCTGTTTAAAACAGGATTCATTAGTTCCTTAATTAATGGTTTGATGGTTCACCTTTAATAAAACAGAATGCTACTGTAAATAATTGACCCTGTCTCTCTAAGAGCTATATAAATTATGTTTATTTGACATTGCATTACTTTATATAAAACAGAATCTTTAATCATAGAGACAATATCCCAGTCCCATCTAATGTATTTGGTATTCCACTGACTGCCCATTCTAAAATAATCAGTTTGACTGTATGATCCGGTGAACTGTAAAGTGCCTTGAGATGACATGTGTTGTGAATTGGAGCTATAGAAATAAACTAAATTCAATTTAAATTTTTTGTATGTACAACACCTCTCTTTGAATGATGTAAGTTCTTCTTGGTTTTGCTTCAGAGCAGATCTGAGTGTATAAAATCCAAAAAAGAAACAGGGTTTATATTAATACATTTTCAGGAGCAGTAAATTGATTGTTAGTGGAATGGAGCTCTAATTAATATCAGATATGTATAAAAAGAGTGTATCATGTGTCTATTGTATATCAGACTACCAGTGTCACTGATAATATGTCTTAAAATGGGATAAATAAACCAATCAAAACTCTTTGCCTGTTGTATTGATATGGAGCCTAAGTGGAAGTTCAACTGAAGAAACTAATAGCTCTGCTACATCCACCTGCGTCACAGCCAATCAGCTTTGAACCAAACCTCCACGGAAGCCAATCGGCATACAAAGTTCATCTTAAAAGGCCTCCAATCAGCAACTTGTCTGCTCCTGTGCACAGGTGGTGGTTGCACTGTGTGACTTAATTTAGATGACCAAGATTCAACCCACATCCAGCCCCTCCTCCACCATCGCAGCTAAAGCTTCATCAGAGTGTCATTCCACCTGGACTCTTACTGCGTTCCCTGTCTCATCTCAACTGGTCCGGCAGAAGACCACCATGTTGAGCCTGGTTCTGCGAGAGGTTTCTTCCCAACGGGGAGTTTTTCCTCTCCACTGTCACTTCATGCTTGCTCATCATGGACAGGTTCTCTCAACCTGTGTTATCTAAACTGGACTTTCATCTCCCAGGTCCCTGAGTGAAGCTCTAGTATCAGCTCACGCAGTCCACTGGATCTCCCCATACAGCTCAGCATATCATCTCGCTAACCAGCAGTCTACAGACTGACCAACTTCATCTATCTCCACTCCACCACCAGTTTCAGGCCTGCAGGGAAACAGCCCTATTCTTTGCTACTGTTCATGCATATCTATCAAAATTAAGCGCTATGTCCAAGTAATTGTATAAATAATTTTTTTCTAATTGTCTTTTCTCTTCATGTGAGTTTTTAGATTAAACTTTTTTTTACTTCTTCATTGTCTGTCTCTGAAGTCTGCAGGGGGGCAGAGAAAAAAACAATCTATAAGCGTTAAGTCCTGTCACTAATGTAACTGATTATTTTCTAACAAAAAAAGTATTTTTTAAACAGTATAGCTTTTTTTTGTCAAATCAATACAAATTTTCAATGTTTTCATCAGTATTCCCTAACTTTACAGATTATTCACCATGCTCTTTATGGTTTTTCTTGTCAGGTTTCAACCTGATTACTAGGTAACATAATCCTGGTGAAGGAAACTAGCCCAGTTAACTAGGATCTGGTATAAAGCAGATTTCCTTTTTGGTATTAATGTTTCAGTGCATCTTCCCTGATTCATTAACTGAATATACATAACAAACAATGCAGCCAGTTTGCAGCAGGAAGGTAAACTTTTGAAGACACATTGACTTGCTTTATAAAAAACAAGAATTTGCTGCAGCAACAGTACTTAATATGGGCAAAAAAAGAGAAAGAAACACAATTAAAACACAAAGTTTAAAAAGTCTTACTTCTCCTTATAAAGTAGCTGTTTGTAACCCTGCTCCATGTCAGAAAATCTGTGACATACAAATGAAAAAAACTAATTTATAATAAAACCAAATATCACTACATACTAAAAATTGAATGTCATATTTTTATGTTAAAAAGTCAAAGCACAGAACAAGATGTGATTATGTGTAGTACCTCTGCTTTTCCTTTTTTAAAGCTAATCTGTGAAGAAAAAAAAAACAGATATTTTAATTAATTCTAATAAACATATAATATCTTTCATACAATGTATTTATCTTTATCCATGCCTGGGTTCTCTCTCTGGGTACTTTGGCTTCCTCCCACAGTCCAAAAACATGACTGTTAAGTTCATTGGTTTTTCTTAATTGTTCTTGGGTGTAAGTGTGTGTGCATGGTTGTGTGTCT